TAGAGCGCAGGCATTGACATGCCGGGTTTTGCCGGCGAGGGGAACTGCCCCTCGAGAGCAAAGCACCCAAGAACCCCTGTTGACAAACACTGGTTTCGTTGCCGGGTGGCCTTTGCTCCCGTAGGCCCTGACTGTTGCTAACATCAAAGAGCTGTTTATGGAACCACCTCCCCACGGACAGGCCTCCAAGTGTCTCTCTCCAACCAGGGCTCATGGGGCCCTCCCTCCAGGGTTCTCACCACAAGCCTAGGAAGCTTGAGCTGGGGAATGCTAACTCCCAGATTCAGCTTTTCACTGCCTTGGCCCTGGGGAAGGCGGTGCCGGCTACTGCAACTAACTTCGAGTAGGCAAAGAACCGGTTAACCTGGTAGCGGACTCTGGACGTAACTGCAGCTCCGTTGGCAACGTCACTGCCAATCCGGTGTTTTCATTGGTGGATGTATCCAGCGCTCACCAATCCAGAGCCTACTTTCCAGGACCCACCAATCCCGAAGCAGTAAAGCGAAGCGCAGCTGCGGGCGGACTGAATGGAGTAGACGGAGAGTCGGAAGGACCCTAAAAGTTAGGGGCGGGGATCCTAGACTTGAACCTGCTTACCCGCTGAGGCTGGGGAAACCGCGTACTGCAGAATTCTGGTCCCCGGAGGGTTTGAGCTGGGAAGATAGCGCGGGCGTGGGCCTTATCTGCACACCCACAGGAGACACTGGTCCTAGGGCCTCTATATCACTCATTTTCCCTAGTTCCCCCTATCTTGTGGGTAAGTCCTGGCCTCTGAACGAAGACCTCACTCTTCTACCAGCAAGTACACGCGTGCCCTGCCTTAGATGCTCACAAATCAGTAAGTGCCCAGAAATGGGGTACGGGACCAGTGGGAGTTTCTGCAGTTGTAAAACAGGGTGCCTCCGGTTCTGCCTGGTATCTTGACCTTTCCCTAGGCCTTACAATGGGCCGGACTGTGATCGTGCTTGGCGGGGGTATCAGTGGATTGGTCGCAAGTTATCATCTGATCCGAGGCCCCTGTCCCCCTAAGGTGAGTTCCCACTAGAACCAAAGAAAGACTAATTTAAAACTCTTAACATTTCCCATAAAAACTGAATAGATTCTGTTCCGTGGAATGTGAAGTTTCCCCTATCCCTAGTCCCTTTCCCCTGAACCCACAGTGTCTCACTTTTGGCACCAGGTGATCTTAGTGGAGGGCAGCAAGCGTTTGGGAGGTTGGATCCGCTCAGTCCGAGGATCAGATGGTGCTATCTTTGAACTTGGACCTCGAGGAATTAGGCCAGCTGGAGTGCTGGGAGCCCGGACCCTGCTCCTGGTGAGCGTCTTGTGGAATGTGTAGGACAGACAGGTGATTGGGGGAGGGGAGGAGCTTTCCAAAGGGAGAGAGTGGCAGAGGGGAAAGACATTTGTTGGGTCAGTTTTTCCTTAGTGTCTCCTCTTCCTGAGGGCTTGTGGAGAACAGGTTTCTGAGCTTGGCTTGGAGTCAGAAGTCTTGCCTGTCCCGGGGAATCACCCAGCTGCCCAGAACAGGTTCCTGTATGTAGGGGGTGCCTTGCACCCCCTACCCTCTGGTCTCAGGTAATGCTCACTTCCTAACTGTACACTTACCTCTTCCCTCCGCTCCCTGTCAGCCCTTCCAGCCACAGGGGTTAAATGAATGAAAATAATACCCTGGAGCTGGGAAGGTGACTGGGGGAGCTTTCTTTTCACCATGCCTTCCTCCTTGCAGGGGGCTACTCCGCCCTTCACCCCCCTTCTCCAAACCTCTGTTTTGGGCTGGGTTGAGGGATTTGATGAAGCCCAGGGGCAAAGAGCCTGATGAGACTGTACACAGTTTTGCCCAGCGCCGCCTTGGACCTGAGGTGACACTGCTCAGACAGAGGTGGTCTCAACCCTCTCCCCTCCTAAACCAGCTGCTGTATCTAGGGATGTCCTCTTCCCATTACTCGGTGTTGGGAATAAATGCTTTCCTTTCCTTCCCACCCTTTGGTTATAGTGGGAACACCCCCCAACACAAAGTCTCTCCCTTCCTCATTCCCTCCCAAGCAGGGGCAATGGAAATCAGTCAGGGTGGCTTATTCCTTGACCCCTCAGACCCAGTCTTACCCTTAAGGTGGCATCTTTAGCCATCGACAGTCTTTGCCGAGGAGTGTTTGCAGGCAACAGCCGTGAGCTCAGTGTCCGGTCCTGCTTTCCCAGTCTCTTCCAAGCTGAGCAAACCCATCGGTCCATATTACTGGGGCTGCTGCTGGGGGCAGGTGAGGGGAGGGGCATTGGCTCAAGGGGTGAATTATAAAGCCTGAAAAAGTGAGGTGCTTTGTACATGGGGTACTATTTTGATTATACATATTTGTCTCCTTTTAGGACGGAGTGCACAGCCAGACTCCTCATTAATTCGTCAGGCCCGGGCTGAGCGGTGGAGCCAGTGGTCACTCCGTGGAGGGCTGGAGATGTTGCCCCAGGCCCTTCACGACCACCTAACCAGTAAAGGAGTCACCATCTTCAGAGGCCAGCCAGTCTGTGGGCTCAGCCTCCAGCCAGAAGGGCGCTGGAAGGTAGGAGAACCCTCTGGAGTATAGTCAACCTGTATCAGTGTTATTAGATTTGTTGTTGCTGGTGTTGTTATATTTAATATTGCAAAAATACATTTAGCAAAAAAGTATCATATGAAAATGTGCATGACCTGATTTTATACCATAGTCAAATAGGACCTCTGGGGAGGGATGTGGACATCTCTGCTGAATATCCATTTCTTTAAACTTGGTCCAAGACTTAAAAACACGTTTGCTCATGTGACTTCCATCCTAATATTCTGTGGCCCACTAGTTATCATCTCTACACACCTCCCAGTCACACGATTCATAAAGGCGTCAAAACCCTGCAGTATTCCGTGGACAGACCTGCCACCTTTTAATGTCAGTGATAACTTCTTGTCCACAAATTTCTTCTGCTATGGAGCAAGGGGGTGGGGATGAAGAAATAACTTAGCAATTAAGAGTACATACTGCCTTTGCAGAAGACCTGGGCTCCTGTCCCAGAACCCACATCAGGTGGCTCACCACTGCTTGGAATTCCTGCTCAGGGGCTCAGACGACCTCTGCTGGACTCCACAGACTCCTGCACTTGTGTGCACACACACACACACACACACCCTGTGTCACTATCTTTGAGTGGTTTAACCGGGTCAGGGCTGACAGCATTGGACTTACTGTTTTCTTGCCTCAGAGAAGCTCTTTGGATATTGGCTACCTCAGGTTCCTATGCTTTATGTGTGAACCTTCCTCAAACAGCCCTTATAGATGTGAATAGAAGTAATTCTTTGGAGTGTCTGGGACAGGGAGAGAGGACAGCCCGCCTTCATTGACCATTTCAGAGCATCCACACTGACCTCTTTCTGGTCCACCTTCTGGATTATGCAGAGGATTTTTGTTGTTCAGATGATACTGTCATTCCCAGTCTTCATCCTGGGTCAACACCCAGACTTTCTTGTCTCTTGGGTACCTGGGAAGCTAAGAGTGAGGCAGCAAATCTCACTTACCTCTAAAGTCCTCCTAACACCGTTCTCTCTCAAATGTTATCACTCAGGTGTCTCTAGGGGACAACAGTCTGCAGGCTGACCACATTATCAGTGCTATTCCAGCTGCAGGTAATGGGACAGTCCCTCCCTTCCCTAACCACCAGGAGGCGATAGTGTGCCTTCCTATGCCAGCAGGGCCACACTGGGTTCCTGAGCTGGTCATCCATGAGGGATTCCTATAAGACAAAGCTAGCCTACTATGAATGCCTCTGCCTGATCCCCAGAGCTCAGCAAGCTGCTCCCTGCCGAGACTGCACCTCTAGCTCATGTCCTGAGTACCATCACTGCTGTATCTGTCGCTGTGGTGAATCTGCAGTACCAAGGAGCTCATCTGCCTGTTCAGGTATGAGGAGGAGGAGGAGGAGGAGGGGGGAGGACACATGCTCAGCAAGAGCCCTTCCCTCCTGATCTACAGACATTTTCCCCCAGGGATTTGGACATTTGGTGCCATCATCAGAAGACCCAACTGTCCTGGGAGTCGTATATGACTCAGTTGCTTTTCCTGAGCAGGATGGGAACCCCCCAGGCCTCAGAGTAACTGTGAGAGAAGGAAACTTTGCTTATAGTGGGGTTTCCAAGGACTCTTCTGTGCCTTAGTGAAGGCCAGGGCAGGATGGCCGATGCTGTGTTTCCTCACAGGTGATGCTGGGAGGCTACTGGTTACAGAAGCTGGAAGCTAATGGTCATGAATTGTCTCCAGAGCTGCTCCGACAGCAAGCACAGGAAGCAGTTGCTACACAGTTAGGACTGAAGGAGCCACCAAGTCACTGCTTGGTCCATCTACACAAGGTGAATTGAGATTCTTCTTAGTTCCTCATTGAAAATAAGGACTAACATGTTTATCAGTATGTCAGCCAAACGAGGCCTTGGAAATCAGTAATAAACTTGCCCTTACATCTTGTCTCTCCTTAGAACTGTATCCCTCAGTACACACTAGGACACTGGCAAAAACTAGGTAAGCTGGGAAAGCAGCTGGGCTGAGGAAGTCAGAGCCCAGCTATAACATTCCTCTCATCCTCGAGGCCAGCCTGGTCTACAAGAGCTAGTTCCAGGACTGGAACCAAAAAGCTGCGGAGAAACCCTGTCTCGAAAATTAAAAAAAAAAAAAAAAAACATTCCTCTCATCCTTCCTTTCCTTTCAGAGTCGGCTAAGCGCTTCCTGACTGCTCAAAGGTTGCCCCTGACTTTGGCTGGAGCTTCCTATGAGGGGGTCGCGGTCAATGACTGTATAGAGAGTGGACGTCAGGCAGCAGTTGCTGTCCTGGGCACAGAATCTAACAGCTGATTCCCCTTCTCCCACTCACGAAAATAAAAGTTGCTGGAACTTGGTTTGTTCTTGCTATTCTGTCAACCTACAGGCTTGTTGGGACCAGGGGTGGTGGGAGAGGATAAAATGTCCTGGAATGCAAAAGGCACAAGCAACGATGAGACAAAGTCCTTTATTAGAAAAGATATCAAAATCCTAGCCCCCTGGGCCAAGACCAGAGGAGCTACTCCAGCACAGGCAGGAAATGCCCTGGAAGGGGCTTCCTCCACCAGACAGCTTCTTGGGAACCATAAATAGAATAAATATTCACAGAGGTCCCAGGAGAAGCCAGGTCACTCTTGGAAAAGAGTGACGTCCATGGACGAGGAAGAGGCTTGGGGTCCAGCCCTGCTCCTACCCCGGGGGCAGGGGACTCCCAGGATTCGTCACATAAAATGACAAGGATTCACAGTCATAAGCCCTGATAGGTGGCCCCTAGAAAGAGGAACCTCCAGGTCTAGAGGAGCCCAGCTCCAGTCTAGCAGTGAGGAGAGGTCCCTGCCCCCAGCCCAGCACTAGAGTTTAGTCCCCTCACATCCCTCCGAAAGCAGTGTGGAGCAGAGGGTGTGGGGAGCACAATCCCTCTGTTTCAGTTTCATGATTAAAGTGGGCAAAGAAGAGTCAGTGTGAACCGTGGGGAGCTGTGTGGTTGGCAGTAGGCAGAGGGCCAGGCCTAACTGGGGGCCGGCGTTGCAGCATCTCTTGTCGGAAGGCCTGGGAGGAGCCCGGTGGATATCGGGGACCAGAGGACCGAGGACCCCGAGGGTCAGTCCCAATGTCTGCAGTGATGTTGGTATAGAGAGGACCCAGCTCTCTAGCCAGCAACTGGTATGTCAGTGAGTTCATTCCATCTTGTGTCCAAGAATTCTGGGTGCGGACCAGGAGGTCAAATCTGAAGGTTAAACGTTTAAGACTAAGATCTAAAAGGAATAGCCTGGAGTTTGGGGACCCCAATAACAACCCCCTTCCTACCTGTGGGGATTTTCCTCGTTGCCTTTGTCCCCTCTGTGCTTCACCATCTTATAGTGTCCCACAGAGGTGGGTGGTCGAGAGATCTTCATCCCAGCCAGACGTACCCTATGAGAAAAGGGAGGGAGCCTTGGAGGAGCCAGAGTGGAAAAAAAAAACGCTGGCAGGTGAATGAGGAAAGTAAAGACAATCAAGGAAGTGATGACATAGGCCTGCACACAAAGAATAATTACTATCTGTCTGGCAAGAAAAATAAATAAATAAAAACTGCCAGGTACAAGAAGGCAGGAGAAAATCAAATAGAAAGAAGGTAAAGTTGGCTGTACCCAAGTCAGCAGGGCTTAATGCCAGATGCCCGGGGGCCTAAAAGAACTGGCGGAGAGAGATAGGTAACTCTTAGACTTCCTTTCTAAACGGCTCCTGGGAGTTGCCCTTGGAGTCTTGGGAGGACAGAGAAAAGGAGCCATTTTGTCTAAAGCATAGAAATGGCAGACCCTGAGTCATCCACCTCTGCCTTTGGGCTTTAAAGTGAGGCTTATGTATGCTAGACACACGTGACCACTGAACTGCACCCCTAACCCAGCAAGTCTTATTTAGAAGTAGTGTCTCAACTACCCAGCTCCTTTCCAGCTGCTGCCTTGTGTGAAAGAGAAGCGCAGAAGCAGGTAGATGCTCAGGACCTTAAACCAGCCCAAATTCTGAAACATAAAACCAAGGGGTGGAGGTAGTTTGACAAAGAACTGAAAAAAAAAATACATCTAGGATTTTCAGGGTAAGATTTACACACACAGATGAGAATTCACATAAAGATGTTGTTACAGGGGACAAAAGAGGAAGGGAAGCAATGAACCTGGCATACCAAGCTCAAATACACTGCTCACGAAACTGGCTCCGGGGAGGCTAAAGGTAAGAATGTTTCACAGGCTAGGACATGAGTGGGCATTATGCCAGGTAGGAGCCCCTCCCCCTTTTTCAAAAAAAAAAAAAAGAAAAAAGAAAAGATAAAAGTGATTCTGGGCTATATGGAGCAGAATCTTTCTCCTCCGTTCTCACGGAAGCAGTCTCTACATAAGCCTATCAAAATGAAGAGCTAACCTGTCTTTAGGCCCCTTCTTGAGAGCTAGAATTCCATATTTCCAGTTGATCTTACCCCTTTTCCAAAGAATATAACCAACCAGATCTATCTAGAAAAGTGAAATTTGACAGAAGGGACAGCAGTGGGCAAAGCCTGACCTGAGTAGACGAAGGTCAAAGGAAAGAATTGGCTCCGTGCAGAACCAGGAAGCTAAAGATCTGTGTTGAAAGACTGTGGCCAGGGTTTGGGAAAGAGGTGTCGTCAGAAGTCTGACCTGGTAGCAATGTCATCATCCTCACCACCCCAGCCCCAATATTCATTGGGGAAGCCGTTCATCTTCAGGTACTGGTCAGGAGTGAGCGCCGAAACCCCACCAAAGTACTGGGGGTACGGGAGGCTAAGGAGAAAAAGATCCTTGTATTTCACAAATTCGGAGCATCAACCCTACCCACAGTTCCCTGAGCTCTCCACCTGCTACAAGGTTGCTTTCCCGGCTTTCTAGTGCTCTTCCATGCCCTCTACCTGTATCCAAACTTGTTCATGGCAACAGCAACATGGCGGGGTCCCCGGGGGTCGCACACATACAGGTTATGATCATTTTCTGGAAGGAGGTCCACGTCATGTAAGAACAAGCAGTCCCATTCTTCATCGCGCAGGGCTTCCCGCACCCCAACATTCAGTAGCTTTGCCCTGTTAAACGTTCCATTTCCAGCCTAGAAGATAATGAAGGGGACCGGGTTCAGCATGGAGAAAGCACTCTGTGCATGAGTGCAGAAGTGGAAAGAGGAAGGATCTAAGCGGAATATGGGGCCAAGAGAAAGAAGAACAAAACAGACAGCTAAGCGTGGCGGTACGTGAGTGTAATCCCAGCACTCAGAAGACAGACAGGAAGATCTTAGGTAGACTATAAGCAAAACAAGGGCTGGAGATGTGGCTCAGTTGGTAGAGTGTTACCTAGCATTCATTACGCTCTGGGTACCATTCTCAGCACCATATAAAACCAAGCATGGCATCGTGTGCCTGTAACCCGTGTGGGAAGGTAGATGTAGGAGGATCAGAAAAGGTCATCCTGAGCTACATAATAAATTCTTAGGCCAGCCTTGGCTACAAGAGACCCTATCTTAAAAAACAAAACAAAGAGGGGCTGGAGAGGTTTAGAGGTTAAGAGCACTTGGCTGTTCTTCCAGAGATCCTGAGTTCAATTCCCAGCAACCATACGGGGGCTTACAACCATCTATAATAAGATATGATGCCCTCTTCTAGCCTGTAGGGATATATGCAGGCAGAATGCTGTATACATAATAAACAAATCTTTACAAAACAAAACAAAGGAAAAATCATAGAAAAAATATAGGAGAGTAGGAATACCCTAACATAATACGGAGACAGACCTGACAGAAAAAGAATGGGACTAACAAAGTTGAAAGAGGAAGGCTCCAATTATCTATTGTCTAATCCTTTTACAGTTATCCCACAGACCCATTAGATGAGAGAAGAGGCATTTATTTGAGCTTCCTTAACATCAAAGAAAGAGGAAGGAGCCAGGTGTTGGTGGCGCACGTCTTTAACCCCAGCACCTGGGAGGCAGAAGCAGGTGGATTTCTGTGAGTTTCAGGACAGCCAAAACTACAACACAGAGAAACCCTGTCTCAAAAAACAAAACAAACAAAAACTAAATGAAAAAAACGAATAACAAGAATAAGGTGGAAAGTGGGGACACGTGGTGGATGTGGGGATACCTGGTGGATGTGGGGATACCTGGTGGATGACATAGATGCCATAGGCAAGCTGTTGGCGCTGTAGGAAGGGGTGCAGGTGGTAGAGCAGCAGACGCAGATGGTGCTCCCTGGCACGATGGGGCACAATTATGGCCGTTCGGGAGCGCGGCTCACATTCTGCAGGACGGTACCGGCCCCCTGGTTCCACCCGGGGGTTCCGCTCCACAATCTCTGCTAGTGATGGCACTGGGCTGAAGGATACTGACACAGGACCCACTGTTGGTAGGAAAAGGCAAGTTCAGAAATTGGAGACACGAGGAGAAAATGGGCATCAGAATCTCAGAATACCTCTGGCCAAATAGCCTGATTCAGGGCTCACTTCCCCCAAGGACTCACTCAAAAATCTAACACAGCTTGGCTTTCCCTTCATTAAGACAGCTCCGCAAAGCCTAAAGCTGCAGGAAGGCTCCTTACCTTGGACTACTTACTTTCTTATTTTAGGGTTTATATAACTTTCTCTTGTCCCACACTGAAGCTACAGGAGAAGAGCAAAAGGACTTCTACCTAATAAAGCCAAGACTCATCTACAAGAGAAGTAATTCCCACCCTGGGGCATAAAGAGGCCATAAAATGGGCAGGCAGTGGAAAGCTTGGGACCCAAGAGCTTAATCTAACCTCTGAATTCACAGTCCACTCCATCTCAACATGAGCCCAGCTTAGAATACATTAACCTAAGTCTCTATACACGCCTGTCCAAGGCTCCCTGCCCCCTCACCTTGTTCTCTTCTTCACCTTCTTCCCTTGGTACTCACCTAAGAAAGGAGATCTTTCTGGACAGTAAGGCAGAGCTTGAGCTGGAGGAGCCCCCGCCGCGACAGGGGCTCCAGGCAGGTGACTGAGGTTACTATAGACATCGCGGGGATGAGAATAATCAAACGTTGGGCCCTGATCTCGACCAAATAGGGCACTAAGGCTTCGGAAGCCCCCAAGTGACAGATACATCATAACCGCCAGCTGGGAGCCCACAAGCAGGGCCAGTGTGCATGGCCTCTCCAGTAGCCTCCGCAACATCCTGACTTGAGGGCTAGGGAAAGAGTCAAGAGATTTCTGGAAGCAAGCAGGAAGGCGGAGAGCAAGGCAGCGGAGACATCAGCGGGTAGAGATGAAAGCGGTGCCGGGAGGAGGAAGAAAAAATGGGCAGAGAACAAAGTCACAAAAAGAACACTGCTGTACTCAAACAAGGAAGAAAAACCAGCCCAGAAGGTAGCCAGTCATTACCAGTCCTTAATACAAGTCACTAAAACTCGTTTCATTTTCATCCACGGCACCCACTTTCGGTCTCCACCCTCAAGAAAGCTTACATCATTCAAGTCCCAAGTCCACTTCAGAAGTCTTTAAAACCCAATCTTACAAAAGAAGAGAGAGACGCACCTGTGTTCAAGCTGTCTTCTTCCGGATCATGGGGGCTCCAGGAGGTCCCCGGGGAGCAGAGAGGGGAGGCATTATCTAAAATTGGAACTGCCACAGAAGACAGAAAAGAACATTCCAACAGCCAGTGTGGGACCAGCGGGGACAGACGTGATCAAGGAGAACCAGTGACCTGTACAGCAGAGTTCACAATCAGGAAGAAACAACTTTCCCATCATGGAGAGTGCGGGAAAGTCATTGGAAAAAGAAAAGACGCCAGGTCAAGTCTCAGGCTCCCTGCGGCAGAGGGGCAAGTGTCAGATCTGTACCTAACTCTGTACTCCAACAAATTTGTTTGGGGGGTGGGGGACAGGAAAATGAATGGAGGTACAAAAAAAAAAACTATTCAAGAGGCAAGAGAGTCGTGACAGGACCTTGGCGTGGCCTAGAAAACATTGGAAACAGGTTCTTTCAGTTCTTCACGTACCAGGGAGCGCCTCCGCAGGTGCAGGGTGCTTGACCACCTGGGAGCTGCAAGCAAGCAACCCCGGAGCGAAGCCCAGAGAAGGGTGGGGGTGGTGTCCTTGTCCACCTCGCTCCAACCCTAGTGGGGGTGGGGAGGCGAGCTCTAGGTGAGGTGAGAAGTAGGGAGCGAGGGCCAGGGCAGACTCGGCCCAGGACACCTGGGCCGGCTCACCTGGAAGGGCGTGGTCAGCGCTTTGCGCGCGCGGGGGATGGGGCTTAGAACCCCATTCTTTTCGGGCACGCCCATCCCATCTCAGTCTCTTGTGTCTGTCCCTACCGTGCAACGTGAAGGCACCGGCCCGCGTCCACATTTCCACCCGAGACCCTGTCTGTGCTCAATCTGGTTTTGCAGCCTTTACTCAGAACTTCTCCTCCCCGCCCCCTGACCTCCCGATCCTTTCTCCGAGGACTCTGTCTCCGAGGTTCCAAGCCCACCATACCTGGTCTGCTCCCCGTCGTCACCGCCGCTCGGACAACCGGGCAGGTATTGCCGCCGCCATCTTGGAAGCGGGCGCAGGGGGCGGGGCCCGCGTCACGGGGCGGAGCCTCTACGGGCAGGCGCAGGGGCCCAGCAGCGCCCGGCCTGTTAGCCCGGGAGCTGGTGACCTGCACCGCTGAGAAGCTCGCTGGTGTCTCGGAGGAGTCCCAGAACCCCGATCTTCCTCTCCACCTCACAGTCTCCTTGCGGGGCTCTACTGCTCACATCGGAGCACAGCAGCTCAAAGCCCTTGTTTCTCAGTAAGGCTGAGAACCAGTTTCTGGTGCATCGGACGTTCTCATCCCCAGGGCGCGCTGAGCCTTTTCCCAAGTGTGTCAATGGCGCCCTCTGTAGCCTAGTGATACTTAGTATCGAAGTTGTTATTCTGTGACAGGCATTTGTATCCCCATAGTTAGTTAACAGGGAAGGAAAGCACGTGGACGGAAAAGCAGCGTCGGCTCTGATGTAAATACGCTTTCCTAAGTATTAGACTAAAATGAACGCTACGACTATGTGCAAGATACTTAATCCAGTGGCGTCTACCAGACCATAGTTTATTATTTCTTAAAAACAAATGTTCATAAAAGGAAACAATAAAAAGCCAATTACTTACGGCTTTTGCCCTAAAAAGTGCAGTCTCCTCTGTGTGTGTGCGTGCATGTGCGTGTGCCTGCGTGTGTGTGTGTGTGTGTGTGTGTGTGTGTGTGTGGTGGGGAGCTACAAACAACATAGTGCAATGATCACGATGACTCAAAAGGACACCTCAGCAGCCGGTGGTGTTGCACGCCTTTAATCTTAGCACTCAGAAGGCAGAGACAGGTCGATCTCTGTAGTTTGAGGCCAGCCTGGTCTCCAGAGTGAGTTCCTGGATAGGCTCCATAGCTACAGAGAATCCCTGTCTCGAAAAACCAAAAGAGAAAAGAAAAAGAAAGTACACCTCATTATTCACATGCGGCAATGCTGGCAAGCTTCTCAAAGGTAGTCAGTCATGTCTAGTGGGAAGCCTGAAGGACTTGTCTGTAGCATATCTTGCTTTAAACATTGTTTTCACGAAAGTTACCTTACAACTCAGTATAGGTGAGTGACCTGCGCGCAAACTCTGTCTTGTCTAGTAAACAGCTCTTGGAGAAAAACAAAGCCAAGTATTTGTCTCCATTTTCTCATTCAGTTTTATAGTCATCTGTAAACATGAGCTCGGTAAAGTCAATTCCTTCATCATTTAAGCACTATAAACAAATGTTCCCTTTGTATATGACTATTAAAAAAGACTTTGGGCGGGGGGAGGTTTCAAGACTGGGTTTCTTTGTGTTACCCTGGAACACAAAGAACGTCCTAGAACTCGATCTGGTCTCCAACTCAGACCCACTTGCCTCTGCCTCCTGGGATTAAAGGTTGTGCAACCACCACCTGGCTAGGCTCTCTTTTTAACTAGATCTTATCTTTGGTGGCCCTATCTTGGTACTGCCAGAAAGAATCCTGCCAAGCCAGATAAGCAAGAATTGTACCACCCACCGTCCCCACGCTTTCTGATCGCCCCCATCTGCCTTCAGCAAGAATCCTGTCAAGGCAGTCCACCAAGTACCCCTCTGTTCTTCATGTCATTTTGAGGCTGAATAAAGACTAATTTGACTCATTGTCAGATTTCCTAACCCTGTTCTTCCTGCTTCCCTCATCTTTTTTCCTTTTACGATCATTGTGAAGAAAGTCTCTCCAACCAGCTGGACGGTGATGATGCACACCTTTAGTTAGTCCCAGCACTTGGGAGGCAGAGGCAGGCAGATCTCTGTGAGTTCGAGGACAGGCACCAAAAGCTACAGAGAAACCCTGTCTCAAAAAAAAAAAAAGAAAGAAAAAAGAAAAAGAAAGAAAGAAAGAAAGAAAGTCTCTCTAGCCATTTTAAGTGTCAAAATATAACAAATCTGAATGCTGGGATTTGTGACTGGAGCTCAAGCAGGTTGTAAAATATTCTAAGCGTGGAAAAGTCAGATGACAGTGACAGGACAGGGAGAAGCACTTGCTGCCAACCCCGAAGGCCTGAATTTGATGTTTGAAAAACCACTGGTAGGGGAGCCCTGACTCCCACAGGATATCCTGACTTCCACACATTTATACTATGACATATGTGCCCACACACATATACACACACAGTCAATCAATAAATGAGAAAAAAACAAAATCAAAAGACTGTAAACCCCCTTTAAAAAGTATGGAGCTGAGTCTGTATGTTGGGAAATATTATTTTAAGGTGTGTTGCTTTTGTTTGTGCTGCATTTGTTTAACTCTGAAGCTGTGACTCTTTGCCTGTCTAAAAACAACTCATGTTCCTAATAAAGGGCTGACTGACCAATAGCAAGGTAGTAACAAGGATAGGCAGGGTTAGCAGGCAGAGAGCATAAACAGAAGGAGAAATTTGGGAGCAAGAGAATAAGGAGCAATGAGGAAATGAGAAGAGGCTGTCAGGCTGGCCCCTCAGCTACACAGCAAACCACTGAAAGGTATACAGAAATAGAGAAAGATCAAAGCCCAGAGGCAAAAGGTAGATGGGATAATTTAAGTTAAGAAAAGCTGGAAAGAAACAAGCTTAAGTAAGGCCGGGCATTCATAAGTAGGAATAGCCCTCAGGTTATTTGGGAGCTGGGTGGCGGGCTCCCCCAAAAGTCAAAAGAGTAAAAATCATCACACAACAGATGTAGGTCAGTGGTGGCGGATCACCACAATTTTTAATGCCCTGGTTTTATCTCAAGGGCAAGAAGAAGGCATGAAACTGCTCTGACCAGAATGCTCCACTCAGAATGTTTCTCTGGTGGAGATGTGGAGCATCAATAAAGTGGTCAAGACTGAAGCTGGATCTCCAGCTCTGTGGTTGTTTACTTAGCCTTGGCAACAAGTAAAAAGACAGGCGGCAAGAAGGCAGTTACTATAGAAATCAGCAGTGAGATAAAGCTTATGCAAATAACGTATTGTTGGAGCTAGAGAGCCGGTTTGGTGGCTAAGAGCACACATTGCTCTTGTAGAGGACCTGAGTTTGATGATCAGTAGCTTTACACAGCAGCTCACAGTCATCTGTAATTCTAGTACCAGGGTTCCTGTGCCATCATCTGGCTTCCAAGGACACCAGAAATACATGTGGTATGTGGTACCCATATATACATGCAAGGAAAACATATACATAACTAAATCTTTTTGTTAAAAATAATGCAAGTAACTGGGTGTTGTGGCTCATGTCTTTTATCCCAGGCAGAGGCAGGTGAGGTCAACCTGGTCTACATTAAGTAGGCTCCAGCCTAGCCAAGGCTATGTAGTATGAAGTGGTGGTCCAATGTGGGGCCTGGATTTCCACATAGGGCCTGAAAAAGCTGAAAAAAGAAAAAACTCCCCTCCCCCAATGGATACAGCCCCTTTAAGAGGCTGTGCCATACAGTGAACACTTGAGTAGCTCTCACATTAAGTAGAAACAAAAAGCTAAGTAAAAACACCTGCCACAGTGCAGGCACCAGCTTCCTAGAGCTGGGGTAGTTGAATTCAATTCTTGCTTAAATGCTTAAACAGGTTTAAGGCTCACAGACCGAGAAGGGGGTGGAGCCAGCCGCCAGAGCCACAGCAGAGGGCCTAGCTACCACTTAGCAATTTAAGGTTTGGCTCATATGGTCATAAAAGGCTAGAGACACACAGTAAAGATGAGCCCTGGTGGTCCAGAGGTCCTGAGTTCAATTCCCAGCAACCACATGGTGGCTCACAACCATCCATAATGAGATCTGGTGCCTTCTTCTGGCCTACAGGTAGTACATTGTATATAAAATAAATAATTTAAAAAAAAGATGGGAACTACACAGGGAGTCTGGATTTGTATGGTGTTAGTGATTTCTTTTGCTTATTTATCATAAAACTAAAGAACAAAATGTAAGATAAAAACCTGAGGTGGGTTGCAAGCTACCAATGAAAAGCCCTGCCCGCGTGGCTTTCTGCTTCAAAAAGACTGTGCTCCGCCACTCCGCCTCTTGTCATGTCCATCCTCTCAGTTGGCTAGTGGACCAATGACGTAATTCCCGAAACATTTTCCCCTTTTTGTGCAATTAAGAAGGAAAGGCTTGGTGCAAGAGAGATGGCTCAGCAGTTAAGAGCTCTGGCTGCTCACCCAGGACCAGGGTTCAATTCCTATCACCCGACGGCAGCTCACAGCTGTCTGTAACTCCAGTTCCAGGGAATCTGATGTAGGGCCATATTATACAGGCTCATATTACATACAATGTATGGCGACCAGAATTTCAGGCCAGTTTGCCCCTGTCCCACAGGTTCGAGACAAACTGACGCCATCCTAGAAAAAGGGTCAGGGTCTGCTAATGTTGTTCTGCTCCTTCTTTTAATTTGGGAGGACACCTGGGAAAGAGGTGCTAATTCAGTCTACATTTGACAAGAGTAGCCAAAGATAGGAAGACCTGACAAAGGGGGCATAGATAAGTGTGGACTTGACCGCAATCATTTTCCCGGCTACCTAGGAAACAGAATGCTAATGAACTTCCCCCTCAGTTTACATATAAAAACTGTATGGAGAATAAACGCAGGAGATTTTCAGGATGTAATCTCAGAATTTTAGGAAAGATCCCTGAAAACTCCCTCCCAATAAAGTCACGTGAGTTATGCCTTTATTCCCACACTGTAGGGCCTTGGTCTCCCTTATTCCTGGGGTGCATTCGCGGGGACAGTTTATGATTAGCTAACTAAGCTTCCTGTGTGTTTCTGTGCTCTCCCTGCCCCGCCTGGTGGTTAGCTGCAGGGCATTTACTCCATTGTTAATATGGTAATTTCCCACCTGCCTGGGCGGAGATCCTTGTGCTGCAGTTAGGTAGATAAGGACTCCCCCAATGCTGAATAAACTGGCATTCAGCTGATCTCCTTTCCAATGACCCTGGTCTCTCTGTGTGTTCTTTTCAATCTCCAGGCCCTCGCTCGACTCGCGTTTGGTACAGGGGCGCGGGAACTGTACCGAGGGTGTAACACAAAATCGGGTGTTACACCACACTTCCCCGCTGATCTGAGAAAAAATTTGTGGTCCTGGCTGGTCCCAGACCACAACGATCTGACCACCTTCATACCAAATACACATAAAATAAAGTTAAATAAATATTTAAAAGAAGGAAAGACTCTAATTTTTTTTTTTGATTTTTCGAGACAGGGTTTCTCCGTAGCTTTTGGTTCCTATCCTGGAACTAGCTCTTGTAGACCAGGCTGGACTCGAACTCACAGAGATCCGCCTGCCTCTGCCTCCCGAGTGCTGGGATTAAAGGCGTGCGCCACCACCGCCCGGCGGAAAGACTCTAATTTTAACATAGTAAAACTATATACAAT